AGATTGTCTGTGTTTGTGTTGCTCTTATTCAAAAGGCTTTTGACGTCAATGAGTTGTCATCTGTCTGTGACGCGATGGATGGGTGTGCTACCCCCCCCTAACAAGCAGGGTTAGTGGATGTAATCCCTAACTACCACAGGCCTAGACGCTGAGGGCTACTGTTAGAGATGAATGACTTTAGCCAAATTATTTAATCTTCGTGGTCCCCAGTTTTCACATGTTGCAAACAAAAAGACAATTTGAGCCTGCTTTGGTTGATGTGAAGTTTTAAAAATATTTATTTAAAAACACATTTAAATAAATGTTATTGTCACGATAGTTTGCAAATAAGGATGTTGAACATGCAGAGACATACGTATCTACTCTGTTGGTTTATTTGTTAGTTCACATTATTCCCATCTTTCTCTAGTTCTTAAATATTTCCCAACTTTAAAAATTAGGCATTTTGGAAACACATTGATGCCAAGAACGCATTGAAATTTTCTTCTGATGCCATGGGACACGAGAAAGTACTAATATACACAGTTCTAGGACACTGGAAAAATTCTCACTTAACTCACTGCCATCAAGGCAATTGACCCTATAGGACGAAGTAGAACTTCTCCTGTGAGTTTCCAATACTCGAACTCTTTATGGGAGCAGAAAGCCAGCTAGATTTTAGGATCTATATGTGTTTTCAGATACCACAGCTTTTCACGTTCCATGATTTGTATCAAAGTGGAGCAGTGTTATTTGGCACATTTTGGAAGAAATAATATACATGGACATAAATACTTCAGTATGTGTATATTTTCATTTATGTGTAATACCTTAGTGTTACATATTAACTAAAGTATATATAAAAATTTATTATTAAATGTCCTTGGCAGAGTTTATATGAGTGTGTGTGTGTGTGTGTGTGTGTGTGCGCGTGTGGGTGCGTGCGTGCGCGTGTGTTCATTCATCTGAGAATTCATCCAGCCCATTCATGTGTTGTTAGGCAAATCCAGTTTCACGTAAGCATAGTTATGATGACCCTGTTTTCTTGCTGACTTTGGCCCAGGGGTCGCTCTCCTCTTCTGGAAGACATGCTCATATTCTTACTGGGGGCTTTCACAATGTGAGAGTTTCCCATTTCCTCTGAGACCAACAAATGAGTGTCTCTCTTGTGGTCACCTTCTTGTAAGGGGTTCACCTGATCAGTTCAAGCCCACCTAGGATAGCAATGTTGATGAGCTCAAGGCCCACTGACTGGTGGGTGTATCCAGGGATTGATATTTCCTAAGACTCACTGCTGCTCTCTGGAGTTGTTGATGATTATATGCATGGAACTGGATTTTGAAGGCTACCTTAAATATTATTATTAATATTACTTTTATTTCTTTGTACCTATAACATCTTCAGATCTCTAACAGCACTGCTCAAGAAAAGTATAATGCGAGCCATATAACTTAAAATTTTCCATTAGAAGCATGTTTTAAAGTTCAAAGAAACATGTGAAATTAATTTCCTCAAATTAATTTTAATAAAATACAAATAATTTTACCTAGTATATTCAACATGTAATATATATAACACCATTAATGTAAATTTTTATAATGTAAATTTTTAATTTACTACACATCCCAATTTGGATTTGCCAAGTTTCAGATGCTCTGTAGCCACCTGCTAACGTGCATTAACTGTGGTTCCGTGTTGCACATCACAGCTCAGACCAATGCTCAGCGCTCTTCTCTGCAGCTTGAGCCCCCACAAGTAACAGATCGTATTTCTGTCTTCCTTTTCCATCCAAAGTCTTGAGAAGCTGGTGAGCACTCGCTGTCGATACTGGCTCGTCTTGCACTACTCAGTGTAATTGTATCCCCACACTTGTCACTCTGCTGACATCTCCTCTCCGTGATCCTCCCGTAACTCCTGGTGGCCAGTCCCATGGACATTTTCCAGTACAAAGTTGCTTTGACAGTTTTAATACTGTGAACAAATTGTTTGGCTTCAAACTTCCTAGTTCCCTTGTTCCTGGGACGAAGACTCAGGGTTGTCTTAGGGTACTTGCTGCACCTTTGTCTATGTCTTTATTGAGATGATGCTTTCTTCCCGCTCCCTCTAAGTGTTGTTACGGGGGCCTTCCTTTGCCCATGCTCTTGCACGTTCTCTCTGTGGAGAGCTAATCCAAATGAGCATGTTCTCTCCACTGTTTACACTTTGATAAAAGCTACCAAAAGCATATTTCGACTTGTATATCACACGATTATATTAAACTGAATACACACAGACATGAGGGATACCCCCCGCCACCACCACAATGGATTTTTTTTCAAAGCTGTATATTTAAATTTTTTTTTTTTTTTTTTACCAAACAACTGTATCGCCTTTGACA